TTATTATATTATTAATTTATGTATTATATATATATATAAGTTTATATTTAATCATTTTATGTTAGATTAAATCAAAAGGTGTCAACACTATTATATATTCCGTCGATGCGATTAATGAATGTCTATGATACGAATAGATGCCAAGGTTCCCATACACACACACACACACAACACAAACACATATATAGATATATAAGTATATATGTATCAATTCATGAGTAATGCATTGTTCGAATGATTTATTAATTGTAAAAATGACAAATAACAAACAAACAAACAAACAAAATATTTATGTATATATATATATATATATATATATATGCTTGGTATTAATTTTTTATTATCGTCTTTTTAAAAAAAAAAAAAACAACTCATTTGTGCGCTTAACAAAAAAAAAAGTACCGCTTATCGAATGAACAGTAGCGCGACAATACTATATCGTTTAAGATTAGATATGAAAAATATATATACGGTGTCTCGAATTATTATTTACATTTTATTATTTCTACCCAAAAACAAAACGGAAAACAAATTTTACTCAAAATAATTATAATATATTATAATATACATTTTTACAAAATATTTTCGCGTTTCATACTATAAATACGTGTATTCTTTATTAAATAAAAAGTTATACAAGTTGTATCAAATGAATACATCTTACAATTTTTTCAATAATATATTAAACATATATATTTAATAAATACCAATATTCGTTATATATCAAAAATTATTCGTAATTGAACATATTTCACACAAATAACCACAAGTTATTCTCTCACGTTTCTTTATAAATTAATTTTTATCATATATTACAAGTTATCTTATAAAAAAAAAAAAAAGTATCACATATAAGAATATTAAAAAAATTATTAAGTTAACCGCACAATATAAAAATATGATTCATCTTAATATTACATTTTATACTTATATCAACAAAACAAAAAACGGTATAAAAAAGAAAAATTCGATGAAAATATATAAAAAATGGAACACCCAATAGAATAAAACTTGCAATACACTTTACGATAGTTCAATAAACTTTAATTGCATTGTCCGAGCGAAAATTGAACTAGTAGGTAAGGGTGGGCGTTTGAAAAGGGGGAAGGGGGATACGTTAAAGCATGAATGGGAGGGGAGTGGGGGAATATAATAAACGGGTGTCGTCGATTAATTAGTTAAATTTTCGCAATACTCATTTTCAATTAGAAAATATATTTATTACGGTAATTAACCTCCTGGCAATCCATATTTAAACGTTAATAAGATTTAAAGATTAAAACGCTGACCATAGCCGATTATTTCGATCGTTTCCCCTATTCCCTTTCCTATATTTTCCTCCCCCCTCCCTCCCCCTCCCCCTCGTTCTATGGTTTCATCGAATTTGAAATACGAAATTTTCATTTGCGATTATTATCTCACGATTGAGTCTTATTAATGTTCGCGTTTGTTTCATTTACATGGAATACCACACTATAGAGATAAACGATTATCAACAACCAAATATCTCGTACCCCATTGTTCATATTTTAAATACTTTGTAGTATTGAAAATATTATTTTAAAAAAAGTAACTCTTATATTAGTATAATAATTAAAAAAGAAAATAATAATAATCATATATATATATAGGGGTACACAGATAT